AGCGAGGAGCCAAAGTCCAACAGGCCAAGACCCACCAAAAGCACAGGGTGGATGAGTGCAGTTGTCTCTGAGGTCCCATGTGGCTTTTAACTGCTTTGTCTCAGACTCTTGCCCAATCCCGATTCTGGGTTTTCCACTACTCTCAGCTGCTGCTTTTTGGTATTTCTATCAACTGGATTTGTGTTGCTTGACCTTGGTCCCTCGTTTTTCTTTCTTTTTATTTTATGGAGCAACACAATATAATATAAAGTACATAAAAGCTTAGACTGGAGCCAAACCACCTGACTTCAAACACTGACTCCTATTTAACCCTGAGCTAAGTGACTTCAAGCAAATCACCTTGCCACTCTGTACCCCTCCCCCATCCATGAAGTGGGGATACTCAGAGCACCCACTTCATAGGGTTGCTTATGAGGATTACTTAATATTTACAAAGCATTTAGAAAAATGCTTAGAACATGTTTGGTAAATATAAAAACTGTGATTTCAGCCTGTGAGGAATAGAATATTTCCAAATATTGGGGTGGAAATAGAGATTAAAGATTGGACCCTATGAACTACAAAATCCCTTCCAACCCTGAGTTCCTGTGAGGATGATTCCCACATCTGGAAACTTGTTCCTACGTAACAACAGCCAAATACTTGAAGGTTTAAGCCAAGAAGTTATGATAAAATATTGGTTATTTGTACTCTAGATGCCAATCAAAAATTCGGTAATGAAAGTTTTACCTTTTTAAAGACATGGGTTAGGGAAAGGACGGGGACCAATAGCTACAAAATAGTATTAACCAATATAGAAATAAGGAGTTGTTTGCAAGCCAAAAATGATCTTTAAATTATCTGAGGAGTGAGAGGTCAGGAATCCTGATGTCAGGTTTGAGCCCCACTATTAACGCGGGGAAACTTCTAAAATCCCTTCCGCTCTCTTTCTGCCTGTTTCTCTTCCATAAAATAATTGCAGCAGGTTTCTTTACACTTTGAAAAAAAACCAAAGTAAAATAAAAATGCTGCAACTGCAGCAGTAGTGGGATAGAGTGGATAGAAGAGTTGATGTCTTAGAGAGCAGAATGAGAAATGGATTGCCGTCTGTTAGGGTGACATGCAGTACAAAGCACGAACGAATGGTTAGGCATTTCCTAGGACCTGAACGTTGGTACAATAATTTTGATGAATTTTTAGATTAGATAGCTGATACTGCGTATCAGTAAAGAATGTCAGCTTTACTTCCATTTTTATAAATGAGAAATTCAAGGAACTTGTCAAAAAATTACCTAGTTAAGTGTGTTTTGCGGGCTTGAGGGACTGACTGTCTGAAATAGAACACGCAGTGCCACCTAGCGAACTGGACCAATGTCTGCGTCGTGGGGTAGTGGTGTCCTGCTAATTTAGCTTTCGTCAGGATACAATTTTAAGAGGCTCTGAAATCACCTGTTTTTCATGTAGAACTCCTGATTTACTCTCCCTCTCCACCTTGTAAACGGTGGGGATCACCACAGTCTCTCTGCTACAGGATCCCCCCTGGGTAAGGTACAATGAAGCACCCCCTGCTTAAAGAACATTGACCAAAGAATGATGAATGGGACACTCAGATGACCTCTAAGCCCTCTCTCCAGGAAGGCGGTGAGCCCAAGGGGTGCCAATTCAGTCACTGTAGGCGGGCCCCATGTAGAGCTCTCAGTGAGAGTCATGTTTTTTAGCCTTCTACTTCTTACCCCACTCCTGTGGGGGGTTTTATTGGGTTGGCCATGACTGCTTTGAGTATGAAGGCAGAGAGTAATCTATCAGTCATTTCCCCACAGCTGGTAAAATACACTTTGTACAAAGTATATTTTTTGCCCTTACCACACCAACCTGCCATTTATATCTGTGGAAAACACACACACATGCGCGCATGTGTTAGAAACCCATGGTGTGCTAGTTTCCAACCTTAACACATATTTCTCCACGTAAGTAGTCACCCAAAACTTCATAGCTATTATCCATTGATCTCATAGTTGGACAGCTTTGTTGGGGAATAAAAAAGATGGATTCAAGGTCAGAACCTACAACTTCTCCCAGATTTGCTTTGTCAGCAAGTCTCTCAGGAGGTGACACATGGCAGCCTATGCTGATTAGGAGTCCAGGCTCCACTCGGGCTGGCTCAGCGTCTCTGCACAGAGATTCACAGCTATCTGGAAGCTTCAGAGCAAGTGTCCCCAGAGAGGAGCACATAGCCTGACTGCCGCCTTGCCCCACTTCTCTCTGCGTGTCTGCATTCTTCTTTCTCCCCTCCAATCTGCTTGGAGGGATGTTTCTTCTTTCTTTTCTCACCTGTGGGCTCGAGGCCAGATGAAGAGACCATTTCCTTTGAATTGTTCTGTGACAAAGCCTTATCTGCAAAGGTTTTCCAAACCCAGTAAGACAGAGACAGTTCAAGTGCAGAAATAAATACACCTGGCCCTCACCAGCCCATGACTCCCCCCGAGTCACCCATTCTCTCCTCTTTTAATTTAGAGCTTAGCCCCCACTGGGGTATCATCTCTACCCTGACAACAGGATCTGGGAGAGAAAGTGAAGGAGACATGGCCCTGACTTCCTTAAGCTCTCAATCAAAGCTCCATAAAGCTCAGTGGGTTTTCTTTCTGGTCTGAGACAGACCCCGGAGCCTGCTACCCCTGGGTGTGTGCGCTGGCTGTTATGTGACGCCTAGGCAAGTCAGTTCATCTCTTTGAGCCTTACCTTTTTCTACTTTAAAACCGGATGATAATAAATATATTGTTGTAAAATTTAAAGACATTGAATTACAAGGGAACTAGTCTACTGCTGGCCTATAGCACATGCCCAAAGGCCTCTTTCCAACTTGTTTCCTTGTTCTTAATTTTAAGCCAGAAGATCCTTCTTCATTTAGTTCTAGGGAGTCAGGAGGAGACTTCCAAAGTGGAACCAGCCCAGAGACCCTCCATTTAATAATAAATTTCGGTTGATGTGGGATCTCAGACAGGTATAAAGTTGTATCTAATCCTGGGAATGTATATTCCTCATCAGCTTTGGAGAAAGGGCTACAAAGCTAAAAAGAAATGATCATAACCCAAAATGGACTCTACAATAATTAAATAAGGCACACGAAGGCTACCAAATTCTGAAAGAGAAAGAAGCCAGAGATCTATAGCAGCAAGACAAAAACCAACACTCCCATACCCTTCCAATTTCAAACAAATTTGAAATATAGAATATAGACTGGGAAAGCTGTGGCCAAGAGTCTGAAGTGAAAGTGAGTCCTTGGGTTGTTTATTGCTTTATTAGAGCAGAGGGAAGGGACACTGATTGCTTGTATAGATTCTGAGGCACTACATACACACTGGTCAACAACCAACACCTGGGTAAGTCTTCCAACTCATCACATTTAAATAACCTTTTGAACTTGGAGTGCCGTTCCTTTCCTAATGATCCCACCCTTGCAACTAAGAATCTTGTGTATTATCGAAAGGATGAGATTCTTCCATCTCCTGGACCGCAGAAGCCAAATTGCTCCTTTTCCCAAAATCCACTTACTGATGTCTTGATTGAAAATCTACCGGAAGCCGATCACTGTTACTATTTCCCTTTCAAAACAGATAGAAAACCTGAGGAACAAGTGCAAAGAAGACCACAACATCCCTCTGAAGATGGTGAGAATCATCTCCACAGGGCCATTTTTGCAACCCCATTTCCGGAGGCCAAGATTCAAGGGATTTGTCCTAGTTGTGAATGGATATTTCTCTGATCTTAAGGCATAAAGGCTGTCAAAACAAGGCTCTGAATAGTACCTTTCTGCTCACCAGTGACATAAAAAGTGAAGGACAGAACAGGGTCTTGGTTTTCCTGAACAGTGCTCAGTAGGACCGCAGTGGTTTGGCATAGATTGGCTCTAGGATATGATGAATGAGAACCAAAAAGAGGCTTCCAAGGAAGACAGCAGTGAGGAAAGCCAGCAGGACATAGCGGCCAATGAAAAAGGAATCCACAATCTGTAGAGAGAAACATCAAAAATGAAATTACGATCACTTCAGCTTGTGCTCATCTGAAATCTTTAATGAGTGGGCCCAGAGTCTGTTTGTATTTGTGACTTCTAGTAATATCCTGCTCTGAGTCTCTTCTGTAAATGGCTAGGAAAGAACCTTTTCTTGACTTCCTGTGCCGGAAATACAAGATAAAAAATTAATGAAGTACAGGGGAAAAATGGCTCAATTTAGGAGGAGGTTCACAAACACTGTGAAGACCTTGGATGAGCTCTTTTATGTTCTGACATCAGTTATCTGAAAGAGTTCATGAGAAGCTTGTTTGCTTGGTCTTAGAAAAGCTCATTTTTGTTGTTAACTTTTTTATTATGGAGAATTTTAAACACATATAGAAAGATAATAGTATAATAACCCCCATATATCCAAGATCAAGCCCCCAAATCATCAACCCATTGCTGATTCAGGAGGGTTCCTTTTCAGAATGGAAAGGTGATTCTTTAAAACTTTCATCAGAAGAGTCCTGAACCCTAACATTCATAATCCAGCACTCCAAGGCTTGGGCTAAATGGCCATTTGCCTGAGACACTAAAATGTTGAAAGGATAGACAACGTGCCCCAAATCATCCAGCTGGCTGCCTGGCAACCAGTCATACTTGGAGCCCCAAAGCTGTTGGTCTTTGCTGACAAAACCTACACTTAGAGTTGGCTCTACCCACCTGGCTACTGTCCGCTTCCAGAGCTCTACTCTCCCCAGATCCAAATGGCGGTGCTTAAATCAGGGCAGGAAAAAGTAAATTAATCTGATGGACCTAATGGAGCAGGAACATGAACCAAGTGGCAGGGTGACTTCAGAACTTCCCAAAGGAAAGGGAACCCAAAATACCTGAGAGGCAATTGTGGTAGACAGAATATGTCTATCCCAAATGTCCACATCCTAACCTCCAGAAATGGTGAATATGTTAGATTACATGGCAAAGGAGAAATAGGGTTGTAAATGGAATTGAGATTGCTAATTGCCTCACCTTTAAAATAGGGAGATTAGCCTGGATTATCCAATCCAGGTGGGCCCAGTAATCACAAGGGTCCTTAAACCTGGAAGAGGGAGGCGGAAGAGAAGGTCAAGGAAGAGATGGACAGAATGCAAGTAGAGTCATCGAGATGTTACCTCGCTGGCTCTGAAGATGGAGCACTGGGGCCGCTAGCCAAGGGCGGCCTCTAGAAGCTGGGCAGACAAAGAAACAAATTCTTCTCCAGAACCTCCAGGAAGGAATGCAGCCCTGCCAACCCCTGACTCTAGCCCAGGGAGCCTGCATTTGGACTTCTAACTCACAGAACTGAAAGAAAATCCATCTGTGTTGTAAGGCACGAAGCCGGTGGTGATTTGTTACAGCAGCAACAGGAGGCTAATACTGTGGCATGACACAGAGGACCTGCCAAGTCCTCACACTGCTCTGATCGCTGAGATCCAAAGATACCAAGAAGAAAACGGCTGCTCCAGAGATTACCCCAACAGCCAACTTACAACAAAGGTCAGTTTGATAAAACAGCTTTAACATAACTTTGACCTTGGCTCTGGTACCGAACAAGTCTCTCGCGGGCTACATGTTTGCTCGTTTGACACGTTTCACTTTTTAATTAGCCGATTAGCAGGCCTTTGGTGCAGAAGGCCCAGGTCATGTATTATTGATACAGTATCAAGCCAGGCTGCTGCAGGGGCCAGTTCTCAAAACCTGAAAATGAGAACACCGGTTCTGCGGGCCACGCTGACGGACATATTTTGCTCAAACCTCCTTCTTCTCTCCTGGGTCTGCAACTCATAGGACAGATTGCTCTGTGCCCTTCTCCCAATATTCACATCCATAGCCATCCAGAAATACGGCCCTTCACCACTCGCTCCCTCTCCGACGGGGAAACGGAGGTGGGAGTCTATTCCTGGCCCCCACACTTGGTACTTGCACCGACAGAGTGGTTTTCAAATGCTGACAAAAATCCCTGACACGTATGGAAATGATTCCTTACATGTGTGTGGCATTATGTCCTGTGGACTTTTCAGAACGAATTTCCTCCCTTTTGCCATGATTAGTCCTAGACAGAGTTAGAAACGTGTGCCAGTTTTAGTTCAGAAGTTGTATAATTTTGTGTACTGTGGTCTAGTGTCGAGGCTCACCCATGAACTCTCTGTGATGGCCCCCAATATTCTGACGAGTCCCCAGCAATGAAGGTTTGCAGACAGACCTCAGCTGGAATCCTTGCTCTGACTCTTCCCATAAATGTATGACCCTGGGCAATTTACTTAACCTCTTACAGCCTCAGTGTCCTTGGGGATAATAATAGCACCTACTTTATACCGTTTAGGGTTGTCTTAGGTTTAAGTGAGATAAGGCAAACAAGGTGCTTAGCAAACAACCTCACACACAGTAATCCCTTAAAAAATGCTAGACAGGTGCCTGGGTGGCTCAGTCAGTTCAGACGGCTGTCACTGCTGCATTCAGCTGTCTCAACAACCTCTGCTTCCCATAGAAATGCTCTTTCTCCACCTATCTTCTCTATGGAAAGTACTCTCTTCACCGCACACATGGAGGAACCAAACACACGGAGATGGACAAGCATGTCGTTCAGCACGCCCAAGGCACCGCATACGCTTTGGCTGGGATCTGAGTTTCTGCACCCAGACTACCGGGATGGGGACACTTGCATTTCAGGGCCAGGCCCCGTTCCTATTCCGAACTCATTTCCTCTTCTCCAGCCCCACAGTGTCAGGTGGCTTTTGGACACACCGCTTGTGCAGCTCGGTGCCCAGGGGGGATGCCCTCAAATCAGGCAACTAACTGCCCCATGGTGTTGCATGTGGGAATCAGAATGAGATTCTTGTCCTAGGTGAAAAGACAAGGGAATGTAAAGCTCCCTCTGAGCTTTCCCCACCCTCGTGTTAACTTTACGCTTCTAACATATTTCGGCCAACCTGACATTGGGAGAACAGCTCAGACCAAGGGAGACAAGAGTTATGACGCAGGAGGCAAAATAAAGCCAATAGTTTTACCTTCATTTCAACCTCTGGGGCTGGGACTTCACTGGCTCGAGGGAAGAGCAGCAGAACTGATGTGATGATCAGAGCACCGAGGAACACAAAAACGACAGAGAACCTGGGGTCAAAAGACAGAATGTTATGAGCACGGTTTACAGATTCCTCTCTCATCAGTTAGGTCTGGAGAGGCTCTCCCCTGGAGCCAATATTCTAAGTTCCAGTCTCTTAACAGGGCCCAGAGCCCTGCTGCCCACACTATCCAGGGAATTTAGAAATGCTCTCCCCTTCAGCCCAGAGCCCTTCTTCCTAGACAGGTCCCCAACTGGATGCATTCCTGTTGATTCCTGGTAATTCCAAATTCCTAAGAATGGGAATGGGTACTTTTTATTTTGTCTCTGTGCATTTGTAATCATGAAAAATCTAATCAGCCCTTCCCTCTTCTTAACTTCTTTGTCTGTCTTTAGCTGGAAGACTCTGGTAAATCACGTAGCTCGCCGCTTCATCCCGACACTGTCTGGCCAGAGCGCAACTCTGCGGCCATCGGCGCGTCTGCAGTGTCCCCAGGCCCAGGTTAGAGCCTCAGGGACTGGAACCAAGCATGTGCCCTAAGTCTGAACAATTCTGAAACACACACATACACGCCCAAGAAATTCAACAGGCAGCGAACACGCATTTCCTTTTTGTTGCTTCTGTCCCCCCTCCCGCCCCCGCCCCCCCGTCACCTCCACAGTGAGAGCTGGAAAATACCACTTGCTTTCTCCTCTGCGTCAGAGCGTAAATAACACAGTCAGTGCTTATGATACCAGGTTAAAATGCAACTCATTCAAACTGCCAGTAATTACAAAAATGATCTTCTGGATTCTAAATGTTTAATGAGCATCAGCGGTTTCACTTCTAACTGCTTTTACCTTGGACTGCCAGCTGGAGAGGAGGCCTTACCTGGCTGGCCCGGAGGCTCTGGATAGCAGCGCACACAGCAGCAGCACCAACACCCAGAGCAGGGCTAAGATGAACACGCCGGCCCCCACCCCGAGCACGGTGCCAGCCATCTGCAGGGGAGACGAAGCGTGAGTACTGCACCCCACTCAGCCCTGGGGCCCCCCGGGGAACCATGCACCCCGTGACTTCTGCACCAGTTCTGCCTGTCTTCCTCCCGCTCCCGGTTTGTGTGAGGGTCTGCAGACAAATGTAAATACAAATACAGAAAGTCTGAACTCAGTCTGATGAACTTCTGATGATTGGTGTGATAGGAGGATTAATTGGTACAGGTCTTTGGGGAAGACCAGTCCCTTCATAGGAATTAGAAAATTAAAACCCTGGGGCGCCTGGGTGGCTCAGTTGGTTAAGCATCTGCCTTCGTCTCAGGTCATGATTGAGTCCCGCATCGGGCTCCCTGCTCAGCGGGAAGCCTGCTTCTCCCTCTCCCACTCCCCCTGCTTGTGCTCTCTCGCTAGCTCTCTGACAGATAAATGAATAAAATCTTGAATGAATGGAAGGAAAGTGGGAGGGAAGAGGAAGGAAGGAAAGAAGGAAGGAAGGAAGGAAGGAAGGAAGGAAGGAGGGAGGGAGGGAGGGAAGAGAGGGAGGGAGGGGAGGGAGGCAGGAAAGAAACTTAAAACGCCAAGCCTTTGTTTTAGGTGAGGACAGAGAGGTTGCTTTCTGCTCTGTGTGGATCACTTCAAATCTGCTATCTGAGTTCTAGTTTGGCTTTCCCGACCTGCAGCAGCAAGCTGAACTCTCTCCTGACAGAAATGTTAATGGAGGGCTGTGAAGGCACGAGGAGCCAAGCGCTACGGAGCCCATGGGGACATTGAGGCTCTCAGGGTAAGTCTGTGGTGTGAGCTTTGACTCCCCGGATGATCACAAGACAGAAATGTCCCCCTCTATTGTTGAGTTTTTCTTCACGAAAGGAAGCAAACTCCTAAGTCCTTGCAGAAGATGAGGACGATGAAGAAGAAAGGAGCCACCACTCTATTTGAACTTTCACGGTGTGCTAAGTACCTTACAAACACGTTTCATTTAATCATGGCAACAGGCCTCTGAGGTAGGTCTTATTACAGCCGTGTCACAGAAGACATAACTGAGGTGTAATGCGAAGGGCTATGTATTAACAAACCGGTGGCTTACAGTAGAACAGCATTCTCTCACAGTTCTGGAGGCCAGAAATCTGAAATCAAGGTGCCAGCCAGGCCGAGCTTCCTCCAAAGGCTCTAGGAGAGAATGCTTCCAGGCTCTTCTAGTGTCTGGAGGGCCCAGCATTGTCTTCCTCCTCTGTCTCTTATGAGGACACTTGTAGTGGATTTAGGGTCCACCCAAAGAATTTGGTCTGATGTCTTCTCAAGATCCTTAATTATGTCTGCAAAGACCCTTCTTCCACATAAGGTCACATTCACGGGTTCCAGGGATTAGGATGTGGGCACAGTCTTTTTGGGGGCCACCATTTGACCCACCCCACTGAGTCTAGAGCACCCCCCCGGTTTTCCCCTTTAGTATCAGAGACAAATCTTAAGCAAATAAATTCCTCCTCGATGGTTTTCTTTACCCTGATGGTTTAAATACCACAAAAATTATTATCTATGACAAGTTCTGTTATAAAGGCATTGGAAAGATTGGAAAGGACGCCATGGGCATAAACTGCCAAACAAACATTTATTCAATCAAAAACTATTCTGTGCCACAGTCTGGGGATCACAAGGTTAAATAAGACATATCTTCTGACAGAAGCTGCAGGCCCACTGGAGAACACTGTCACGTAAACAACTATCCACGCCACACTCTGATAAGCAAAGTACAAAGTGGGACAAAGTGGGACCTGAGGTAGTGCAAAGGGAGAAGGGCTTCACCGAGGAGATGACTTCCCACAGGCCCAGATGGGAAAGAATCAATGTGGCAAGATGACAGGCAGGGGGAGGGGTGGGCCAAGAGAGGAGTGGCAGCAGGTGGGCTGGGCTCTCACTTGCCTCTCTAACCTAACCGGGGCGCATCCCCTCCCCCCAATTTAGAGCGCACAGTATCACCTCAGTAACTCTAAACTGCCAAGTGTTTCCCTACCTCTGGGTCCTTGTACTTGCTGTTTCCACTGCCTGGAATTAACCCACAGCCCCCAGCGAACCTTCCACTATTTGCAGGGCTGGCTTCTCCTCATCTGTCTGATCTCAGCTTTAAATGTGACCTCCTCAGAAAGGTCTTCCCTGATGGCTCTGGCTAAAGTAACCCCAAACAATTACTCTCCCTCACTCCTTATTTCCTTCAGGGTACATTTCACAAACTATAGTTCACACTTTTACTTACTATTTACAGGTTTACCTTCTATGTCTCCAACCAGTATAGCAAACTCTACGAGGGCAGAGATTTTTATATCTTGCTCACCACGGTATCCCCAGTTGTTAGCACAGACATTATAAGCAAGAAATATTCATTTGATGAATAAATGAAGCAGTGCTAACAAGTCCATAGAAATCAAGTGAAGGGCTGATAGGATCATATTTAGCTTTAGAAAGAGGACTGTAACTTCTGGTCAATATGCTGGACAGACCTAACAAGGGAAGTACCTCACATGTAATGAATGTTATGATAGTGAACACATAGAAATGCTTAGTAAAAGTGAGCAAAAAGAATTCAATACACAGCGGAGCTCGGAAGCAATAAAGGAAAATCCTTAAGTACCATAAATGAAAGCATAATTCAAAATCTGAGTGGTAAGCAGGAGCTGAGCCCAAAGGTCTATAGGGGTACTGAAACCAGCTGCAGACCTTTGGAGTGGTCCCTCCTGGACAGATGAGGTCTCAGACCCATGATACAGAGAACCAGAACTGAGAACAAGGCATAAAGATTAGCCCAGAAAGGGCCCACCTGTCTTCGAAATAGGGACTAAAACATTTGCTGCTGACTTTGTTGGAACAAAGTTGGCCGAGTACCTCAGGCCATGAGTGAAAAAAGACTAACCCAAGAGAAATCTGAATCCCAATCCGACACCACATGCAAGTGTGGGGTTCAAATCATACTACCAAAGTGGTATGGGAATCTCGAGAAGTAAGATTCACATAAAACCAGTCTAAAAGTGAGAAACTTGTAGGGTCCCGGCAGAAACAACTGAAACCTCTCTGTAGGGATGCCACACAAGTCAGCATGCAAGGCTCTCACCAAGTTGGGTACAAAATAAAAATATTTTTACACAAAGACTGAAATGGAGTTCACCTGTCACTGCTGTACTTGAGCAAGAATGAAAATGAACCAAGAAAGAAGGCATGAGATGTAAAGAGGAATGGTAAGAAAAATACTGGGTAATATTGATAGTAAAGATTTCTGAAATGATAAGAAGGCCTAATTGTTTGAGGAGTTAAAAACAAGGAAGAACAACAGCAACACATTTATGGATATGTCTCCTCAGGCAAGGGAACCAAAAGCAAAAATAAACTATGAGGATTACACCAAAATAAAAAGCTTTTGAACAAAGGAAACTATCAATAAAACATAAAGGCAACCTAGTGAATGGGAAAAGATATTTGCAAATGATATATCCCATAAGGGGTTAATACCTAAAATACATAAAGAACTTCTATAATTCAACACCAAAAAACAATCTAATGAAAAAATGGGTAGATGACCTGAATAAACATTTTTCCAAAGACATCCAGATGGCCAAGAGACACAGGAAAAGATGCTCAACATCACTCATCATCAGGGAAATGCAAATCAAAACCACAATGATATATTACATCACACTAGTCAGAATGGCTAGACAAGAAAAAAAAAAAACAACAAGAAATAACAAGGGTTAGTGAGGATGTGGAGAAAAAGGAACCCTCATACACTACTGGTGGAACGTAAATTGGTACAACCACTTGGAAAACAGTATGGAGGTTCCTCAAAAAATTAAAAATAGAAATACCCTATGATTCAATAATTCCACTACTGGAAATTTACCCAAAGAAAATGGAAACACTAATTTGAGCAGCCCTATGTTTACTGAAGCATTATTTACACTAGCCAAGATATGGAAGCAACCTAAGTGTCCATGGATAGAAGAATGGATAAAGATCTGGCTGGCACACACACATATACACACGTGGACTATTACTCAGCCATAAAAAAGAATGAAATCTTGCCATTTGCGACAACATGGATGGACCTAGAGAGTATTATGCTAAGTGAAATAAGTCAGTCAGAGAAAGACAAATACCATATGATTTCACCATATGTGCAATTTCAGAAACAAAACAAGTGAACAAACAAAAGGCCGGACTCTTAAATACAGAGAACAAATTGGTGGTTGCCTTAGAGGAAGGTATGAGGAGTACAGGTGAAATAGATGAAGGGGATTAAAAGGTACAAACTTCCAGTTATAAAATCAGTAAGTCACCTGAAACTAATATAACACTGTATGTCAATTACACTTCAATAATAAAAAAATAAAAACAAAGAAGAGCTAAAGTATTTGTTAACAGTTACATGGAAGATGAGAAAGAACAGTTCCAAGTGAAATCATTGGTTATTACTTTGCACTGGAGGAGATGAAAGTTAATGATTACCTGTAGGCTTTGTTAAGCTAAATCTGCATGTTAAAAACACACAGGTAAACACCAAATAAAAGAAACAGGGTAAGTAACCTTCACACTAATAGAGTGAAAAAAATAAAGGAAGAAGGCAGAAGGCAGGAGGGGAAAGAAACAAAAAGCAAGGAAAACAGAAAATACAAAATAAGATTGTAAAATAAATCCAAATATAACAGTAATCATAGTAAACACATACAGATTATGCTTCAAGATCCCTTGCACAACAATGTGAATATCCTAAGAATACTTAACCAAACACTTAAACATGGTTAAGATGGTAAATTTTAGGTGTGTGGGTTTTTTTTTTTTTTTTAAACCCCAATTAAAAAAAAAACCTAAACCAAACAAAATAAAATCTGGTGAAGCAATATTAGTATCAAACAAAATAGAATGGAAAGCTTTGAAAGGTATTAAGAGTTATATTCAGGCTCTCTGCTCCTCCCCGTTCGACAGGTAGCCGCATCTTCTGGTGCAGTGCCAGCCGCGTCCCCGAGACACGATGGTGAAGGTCGGAGTGAACGGATTTGGCCATATTGGGCGCCTGGTCACCAGGGCTGCTTTTAACTCTGGCAAAGTGGATATTGTCGCCATCAATGACCCCTTCATTGACCTCAACTACATGGTCTACATGTTCCAGTATGATTCCACCCATGGTAAATTCCACGGCACAGTCAAGGCTGAGAACAGGAAGCTTGTCATCAATGGAAAGTCCATCTCCATCTTCCAGGAGCGAGATCCCGCCAACATCAAATGGGGTGATGCTGGTGCTGAGTATGTTGTGGAGTCCACTGGGGTCTTCACCACCATGGAGAAAGCTGGGGCTCACTTGAAGGGCAGGGCCAAGAGGGTCATCATCTCTGCTCCCTCTGCCGATGCCCCCATGTTCGTGATGGGTGTGAACCATAAGAAGTATGACAACTCTCTCAAGATTGTCAGCAATGCCTCCTGCACCACCGACTGCTTGGCCCCTCTGGCCAAGGTCATCCATGACAACTTCGGCATCGTGGAGGGACTCATGACCACCGTCCACGCCATCACTGCCACCCAGAAGACCATGGACGGCCCCTCTGGGAAGCTGTGGCGCGACAGCCGAGGGGCTGCCCAGAACATCATCCCTGCTTCCACTGGCGCTGCCAAGGCTGTGGGCAAGATCATCCCTGAGCTGAATGGGAAGCTCACTGGCATGGCCTTCCGTGTCCCCACCCCCAACGTGTCCGTCGTGGATCTGACCTGCTGCCTGGAGAAAGCTGCCAAATACAACG